GCTCGATTGGCCGTGGCCATTACCAGTCCTGTGCAACCTGACCTGACCTGACCTGACCTTTCTCCGTCTGTAAACTGGACATTGGACATTGGACCTGAACTGGATCCACGACATCGCAAAGCGCTCACGAAATGCGCTAAATTCTAATATGCAGTGGCCGGTTACGAAAGTTCAGGTTAATACACTTGCCCAGTTATTGAAATCTTTTTTTCTCAGCGATCATTGAATGATATTGAAAAACGAGCGTATAGCTTTTTTCCTTGCGATTTCTTTCACGTTGTCAAAAATGGATTTCAATCTTCAGCTTACCATAGCTTTTGAATATCAAAGGTGATTTGTTTCCTTCAAGTTCCCTGCCAGCACCATAAATATAGTGTTCTGGTGCTATCTCTGAGCCCCTTTCTCGCTCCCGTTTAGTTTCCTTTAATTGATAATCGCTTTTGGTATTGTGTTAAAAACTGACAATCAATTCGTGTTTTCGATGCGGAAATAATCATGAGCCAAACTAATAAGAATATGAAGGTTATACCTTTTCCCTCAGAGTGCCATTTAAAGAGCGGAATTTATTCTACTGAATTCAAACGGGACATTCACTGCAATGCATCTTCATGGGAATTGCAAAAGCTTAGGGAAGCAGTTCAGTTTAGTTTGCACAGTTGAGGAGCCTTTGATTCAATTGACCGTTAAGCTCTTATGAGGTCACTGCTTCGCAGAGGCATACTGCGGAATTATATAATCCCATTGCCATCGCTATACGTACTTCTGATAGCGTAAGGGTCTACCGTGGGCTAGGCAAACCGAAACCGAGGGCGGTGCTCATCAAGGGTGTCCCTGTAACTCTGTTGTCGGCCAATAGAAATCGTGTTGTACTGCAAGTACCTTGGGTCCACCATGCTGCCCAATGGAAAAGCGAAAGATGATGTAAAGCGGTGCGTCGACACGTCGCGAAAGGCGTTTCTGCAGCCCCGAACCGCTCTATGGCACCGGAATGATATCAGTCTCAAAACCAAGCTCAGGGTGTTTACCACAGCAGTTCGACCAGTACTACTATACGGCTGCGAAACCTGGCCACTGAGAGCTGAAGACATCCGACCATTGGAGGTCTTCGATCACTGGTGTCTTAGATTCACCCTGAAAGCAAACTGGCGGGACAGAGTTTCAAACTCGGACCACAGAAATCGCTGCCATGTTTCCCGTCTTTCAACGCACTCCACCGAATACAACGGTTGGGTCATGTTCTCCCCAGACCCGACGACACTTTTACAAGTATTGTCTTGGCTCCGTCGCCTTGTCCTGGTTGGCGCCGCCGACAAGAGAGGCAATTGAAAACCTGGTGGACACTGTATTCGAAGACGTTNACACCCGCCGATGGAAAACCAAATGGATCAACAGTGGCAAGGATCTTGCAGCCAACCGCCAAGCATGAACGGCTGCAATCGGGGACATTCATGGAGCTGGCTTATCCTTTCCAAGGAGTCAGTTGTAGTAAACTAAAGTAAAGATACACGTCACTTTAGTAATAATTGAAGGAAAACTGATGCCACGGTGGCTTGCGCAGTCGTTGAGAGATACTATCTTGAAAGTCGTAATGATCATTGGTTTGTCCCAAAGTAGTTATAGCTATGCCGCAAACGGGTTCTTCTCATGTATCTTATGTCTGTCTTGGACGCGATTCTACTTTTGTTTTAAAATATTCACACTACTCGTTTTAGTCATTGCTTTTTCAATATTATTTCCTTTATAATAAGATCATCGGAAGAGGTATATCCGACGCGGATTAAGATTGGCCTAAATGATTCCCATATTCCTCGTCGATCTTTCACTGGTGGTAACTAACTGTCCATCTCTCTTTTCAGTGCTTATAATGCTCAAAGAAAGCGAGACGTTTGTTTTTGATCTGAAGGTATGTCTTTGACCAATACAACATTATGATAGATCCTCTCCGGGGAAACGGAGGAGCGAAACTTCGAAATGATTCATGCCGAACATTGGCAAAAGCGTCAGCGCTCTGCCGAAGATCGTGCCTTTGATGAGTTAATATCACTAGTTACGGATCCGTGCGAAATGTGCTTCGAAATGATTCACATGGTGCAATATGCAAAACAAGGTGAGCTTTTTTAATCTTGGACCATAAATAACCTTTGTCTAGGGGTTCATCCCACAGTTTTCGAGTCTTGGAATCCTCCTCATTTATATGCGGAATTTTGGATTCTGAAACAAGCTCAGGTAGTATGACCTCTTACTCTTATTTCATTCTGTTTTTATTTCATAGCTTGAAAACGTTCCAGTCAAACCACAAGAAGAAAGGTATTCCAATTAGTAAACAATTTATGTATCCTTTATTTTCACTGATATAACATTCCATATGAGATCCGTTTGTCCCTAGATGGTCATTTTTCCTATCGTTTAACAAAACCAATTTCTGTCCAGAAGGTGTTTGAGGTGTTCAAGTTTGACCTACTTTGTGGCAGTTCCCGTCAAATTTCGAGGGCTTATTAATGACTTCTGACTTCATCATTGTCTGTGGCGCCGTGACTTATTTATACAGTAACAAAATGAACGTGAACATTCTTAGTTATCACGAAATTGTGGTGGCGTGCCTACCTCTTCGTATTCGAAAATTAATCCCGCCGGAAAATACCCTTCAGTGCAGCATTTTCCAGCAAAGCTAATCAATGAAGTTTTCATCTGGAATCGCCAGCTGCAAGTTTGTTTCCTTCATTTTATGTATGGGTCGACGTTCTGTCATGAAATGCGAATTGGATGTCAACGCACCACTTACGGAAAATTCTTGCAAAACGTATGTGAATGTGGGTTTTGCGTGGTGTGCTTCTCGGTGCTGTTCCACAGTGAACTCAGTAATCAAGACTGAGCCACAAAGGGCATGGTACAATGGGTCAGAAATGATAAGGTTTCAGGAAGGATGAAACAGATTAAGCGAATCACTACTACAAGTCTAAGACCTGGCATGAGGGTATGAAAATCCTAAACAGGGGACTGGGTCACATAGGTCCCGTTAGGCTCCCTGACTGAGGACCCGGAGATGATGGTCACCGATGGTTAGAGACAATGAGCTATATGGCTGGATGTCGCAAACAGTGGTGTTCGTGCATCTACTCATTATTCTTTAACATCAGTCTATATAAATTTGTTATCTTCCGCTTGAATTCTTTCCTAACATCCTGATTTTCATTCTGCTGTTTTATCCAAATGGACAACCAGAAGGTAGCAACTAGCGGGTGGTGGTGGCGCAGTGGTTTAGTGGGTGGTAGTGGCCCAGTTTAGTCGAGGTTCGAGCCCCGCCAGCGTCACCCAACTTTGGTGGTAGGCAACTCTGCTGTCGTCCGGGCCTTATGTGGTTCGCCACTCCAAGTCCCGGGGCTTAGGCTAGCGGTTTCCACCACTGGACAGCAGGTCCTCATGACTAGGGTTTTCGCCCCGTCTGCTGTTCATCACACTTGTAGTAATAACACGTGTAATAAAAAACCGGCGTACGAAAGTGCATGGTTAATGGTTGTAAGAACTGAACTGAACTACCACACTGCATAGTTTCTTTGCTTCACTGAAAATCGATGAATCCTGTTCGAAATGACTTTCCGTAATAATTCCTAAGTAGAAAGATCAGGGGGTAACCGCAGTAGTATTATCGTTTATTGCTTCCATCGGAAGGTGTAGAAAATAGTCGGAAAACTGGTTATGTTTATATTCATCCTTTTCACTGTTTCATTGAATGTATTTAGAATTTTCAGGGAGAGGAAAGTGGCTCATCAAATGGCTGTGATACATAGAAATGTGGGAGGTTGGACGGTAGGAATGGTACGATTCGAACTCACTTCCTGCGGAGAGATAAGCTGGTAACCGCCAACTAGTATTTTTGCATCTTTTTGGTTCACTAAAATAAAACGTACGGGAGCACATATCAGGTAGATGGATCAATCAACTTGTCAGATTTTTGTAACTCAACAGTAAGTCCTAGTGAATATAGACTTACTATTCCTGTTGTTCATTACATGAGAGTACTTAACTAATTCACCACAGGTTTCCGGTCACGGGTTAATGCATTTTCGACTGTGTATTTCTTTCATCTTCAGGGATAAACAGTCATTTCTTCTTAACTGACTAAAAACGAACTTCCACGCGATGGGTCCGAAGTTTATATCCCGGACGGTATGGCGCATTGACACTGCTAGTGAGCTCTACTGGAAGTGAAATTCCAGTCTATTTCTTCTCGAATGTACGGCTAACCGGATGACAGCAACCAAAACCGGTGCACAAAGGTGCATGGTTAATGGTTGTAAAAACTGAACTGAATTGAACTAACGGGATGAACTGGGGATGGAGTCTGATGGATAATCAGTACAAATCAATAACATTTTCCCACACCTCTACTCACAAGCATCTGCTTCATCAATTATGATCAGTCTCGGACATTCACACACATCTTTTGCCTCATTCCGTGCAGAATTGTCAAGTCGCCCATCCATCAACAGCACCAGTCCATTCAAGTTGATCTGATTGCTCCGGTTATCTCCGACTCAGCTCCGGCCCCCATTCACGAGGATACATCAATAGAGAAATCACCTGCTGTTAGGAGACCACATCGTGGGATTCCAGGTTTCCGTAGCATTCTGCAGTGCGGTGCGAACACTTTGTGCGGAGACACTGTTTTCATGGGAGCCACGGTGAGTGTTATCACGTTCTTAATCTCAGTTCGGATTCTAAAGGTTGACCAGTGGTCAAACATTCTCACCCTCATGTATCCCATTTTTATAGCTCTTGTGGTTTTCTCCCTCTAGCGAGACGAATATCGTTCTAGAGGCTTTGAAAAAGCATGACGGAACTATTTTGAAGACACAAATTTTGAGGTGATCTTTCCATTGTCTTACAATCCTGCTTCCAGTTAGTCATTATCAATTTGGGCTTTTAAACCACCTCAGTAAATTGTCTTCGGAACTCGCTTATTTTAAATTTCGGAATACAACTAGATAGCACGTATATGTTTATACACATTCTATCTTTCAGGTCCTAGGTTAGGTCAATGCATCCGCCCTGCCGAAGTCTGCGAGATATTTCTTTTTTGTATCTCAACGGAGTACTATGAACCTTGAGTGAACTTTGTGCTAAGATATGAAGGGTTTCTAAAAAGAACTGAGCTGCCGGTTGGTTGTAGTATTCGTCATTCATTTATCATGAGTAAAAAATATAAAGTCTATTTAGCGTGTGGTTATCCACTTCGGAATAAGTTCCGTTTTCCATTCGGGACAGTTAGTACAGGCTTGTGTTGAATTTATGACATCTTAGTTTATAGATTGTCCCTGCCACCAATGGACGTGCGTATTCCAAACCCAATAGATTGTGGTTGGGTGAAACAACTTCTACTGATCAATTTGACCAGCAATGTGACCAAACTATTGATAGTGGAAAATACCCGTGAACTGTATCTATAGATGATGTGGCTTCATTAAATAAACTCATTTATTCTTTTACTTTAGACCGGTGCGTCTACAACCATGACTCCGACAACCGCTCGTATTAATCGATTGTTCCAGGACAGCACAACTGGGTATGTATTTATTTCACGCGTCATATGTTTCGCCCATACGCGTTTAATACTGCCCATTTTCCTATAATATGCAGCAGGCGGGTGCCGGTTCAACGATTTCAGTCTCCGTCATTGGTCGGCTTTGGGCCTCGGTGAAAAGAAGTTCAAATCCTGCCACAGGTACTCAGCTTCACTGTCGTCCGGCTCAATGCGACTCTTGTTTATTTATGGAAGCCGGTGACCAAAATCCTGAGACAATAAAACAAACCATGTACCTGAGATAAATGAGTGATATATGGACTGCTTATCAACCGTTCCTTTTCTGACTGTGGTGGTCCAAACTCCACTTACTCGTCTTTCCTTACATCCTGTAGCCATTACATATATATACTAGCTGATTAACTAAGCCGGAATCACAGTAGAATTTTTCGTTACGGTTCATTTGCACTTTATCCGGAGAAACTGTGTCAAGTGGCAAGGGGTGATGACAACTCACAGGTCTGTTCACACATTTGCCTGAATCGCTTTTATGTTTTTGTTGAGGCAAGCCTTCCGCTTTGTACTGACTTTTCGCCGGTCGTGAAAACCAAGACACCATTGTCAGTCATTGAGAAATGGACGTAACGGACAGTGACAAAACACATTTGATCTAGCTGAAGGCGTCCGGTCTGAGTGTTCGAATAATCTAACCGTTTTATTCCAACAAAGCAGAACGCTTCAACTGTCAAAATGCGTCTTCTTCATAGAGGATCGGTTCAGAGTGGAACCGGTCGGTGACTTCGGAGGAGTTCAGGACTAAAGGGAAAACGCTTGTGATTTCGAACGCTCAGCTCAGTTTCGAGAAGAACAAATGTCACAGTTTTATTCCGATTTAGGACGTAAACGGGAAAAGCCTAATCGAGAGGAAGTAACCCACGAGCTATTATAGAAACGCACCTCCGGATAGCTCTTTCACACAATTTTTCAATGAGGAACCATATTANTGCTATCTGTAATCAAGTTTGCAAGCGACCGTTTTACACATTCAGACAAAAATCTAGGGGTATTCCTAAGTGTACTAGCTAGACCGTAGTAACTTCATACGCATTAACAGATAAACCAATTATGCATAGTTAACCTTCCTTAATTCACGATTCACGGGTAGTGGGAGGCTAAGTTGATCGATCCCTGAAGAGCGAGTAACGCATAAATGAGGTCTGTTCCTTTATTAAAAAAACATTTTCATTTGGTCACCGAATTGGTAACAGTCGTTATTGGTCATAGCGAGTGTTTAAATTACTGTCCTCCGCACTCAGCACTTCTGTCAATTTACTTTATCAGTTTCATGCAAACCTTCCTGTCTTATTCACTGTGGATATTTTGCGGTACAATTGTGGTATTTACTTCCAGTTTACTTAAGGAACACGGTTTGGGAGTGTAAACAACAGTCTGCAATTAGTGTCACAAGAAAAACTTTAATGGCGTCAAATCTGGAATTCTGGGCGGTTATGGCACAAGTTCTCCTTTACCAATTCATTTTTGTGGAAAGGTTTGTCATCAACGTTCTCACAGCTCTCGATTAATGGGAAGTTACTCTATCCTGGTTGAATATTCTGGGTTGACAACTTGAAAAGCAACTGTAAAAATGTCGTTCCACTTGTCACCAAACCAATGTCTTGATGTAGATTCCCAAACAGCAAGATATTCGGGGATTGTAGCTGTGGTGTGCTTCAATTACAAAACTTGGTTTCATTTTGCTCGGGTAGGCTTGTTTTTCTGTTAATCCGTTCAGGAATATAGAAAACAACTTCATTAGTCAGGGTTACTCTTCGAACAACGATGGTTTTGTTAGCAAGCTGCATTTTCCAATCAAGTAAATATAAGATTTATGCATCCGTGTTGACTGATTTTTTAGCTTTCTACAATATTTTTACTGCAAGTATTCTGAATAAAATGCAAGTTAAATAATAAAAGTCGGTGAGCGTTACTATTGTTCAAATTGCACACGGTTCGACCAATCCGATTTCATGATCGCTGCCCAAAGGAAAGATTGAACGTGCGAGAGGAAACACGAGACTGCACCCGTGGTATGAATGAATAACTTAGCGTCTTTGAAAACAAACATTTCCCCTTAATGCTTCTTCCTGAACCCATTTGTTCAGCCCTGAACCGATCCGATTAGCGGTCTGCTTTTCGCTTTGTCGGAATAAAACGGTTAGATTGTTCGCATGTTTCTCAAACACTCAGACCTGACGTCTTCATCCAGATCAAATGTGTTTTTTCACTGTCCGTTAAAGTCTATTTTTCAGTGACTGACAATGGTGTCTTGGTTTTCACGACCGGCGGAAAGTCAGTACAAAGCGGAAGGCTTTCCTTACCAAAAACACGAATAATTCATAATGGGGTGTGGGGACATTATCTTCAATATCCTCATCATACAGCGAAGCAACTTTCGCTGATCACTGCCGACATCACAGTGCATACAAAGTTGGTGGTAATGTGTAAGTTGAACAAGCATTAGATCTATTTTGAGCGAGCGGGTGGGTAGGAAAGTGAACCTCTGGTGGAGACAAACTACACAATCCAACTATGTATACATACCTTTTCAAGCATTCTTGTCTGATGAGAAACGACAACAAGAACGCCAGTGCTGTCGTTTCGTTGCCATATCCTTCAATCTCCAACCAAACAGGTTGCAGCGTATTCTACCCAACCTGGAAGGCTCGAGACACCAACGATTCCGTGCATTTCCTCATACTTGGTCACTATTCGATATTTTGACTTCTGTGGGGTTTCCTCCAGCCCGGAGAGAAAATTGCGAATAAAGCGCGATGCGGCAGTCGGCAGCTGGCTATACGCAATACATGCCCTGACCAGCGAAGCCTACTAATCCTAATTGGATGAGCTATCAAGTTAATCCCAGATATACTGTCAAACACATGACGACTTACCTCCAGATTACTAAGCCGTCCGCTCTACCCGACGTGGGCCAAACTATGCAAACACCGATAGNATACCGTGTCTTAGCCGAAGGTGTCTTAATGCTTTCTACGCTGCTGAAGACTTGGAACTGCGGGTGGTTATTTCCTTTGCCGCTCTACCGTCAATGGTCACACAACCACCCAGGTGTGAAAAGTGATACACCATAACTAATTCCGGGCCATTTAGTTTCACAGCGGGAATAGGCGACACCCAGTCTTGCAGCATCACTTTGCACGTTGAAGTGCAAAGCACATACTCAATTTGGTAGCGGAACTTAACAGTCTATCTGGGGCATTTTCCATGTCCTCCCTACGTTCGAACAGACCGAAGATTTCATCGGTATACTGTAAATCGTACGGCTTTTCTCCGTCCTACGTTTTGGAGACCACTTATTTCGTTCTCCAGTACTTCACCTGCGGTGAAAGTGAACAGAAGTAACGTACGCCGCTGCTGGTGACGAACGACCTGCTTAGTTCGCTATGGATACTCACTCAACCAGAGGTATCTGTGTGCGGTGACCTGTTTCAGTAAATGGAGTTCTCCGACCTCCCGTAGTCTTTGACCATTCCCTGATGTCACTCCTACTTCTTTTTCACTAGTTGTTGTTGCCCACCACTTTTCACGGTCCTTGAGGCTTTCAGTGAAATGACTTCGCACACGCCACCTAACCTTATTTTGCTCCTGGCATGTCGGGATTTGTCTTATTTCTCCATGAGGTATAGGGATTCACGAGATATCCCATGCCTCCGATGGCCTTAAGGCTCAGACCCGCAATATTCGCTGCGGAATGCATTGCTCGGCTAATGTGATCCCAAATTCCGTCTACATCACCAATTTGAGGCACACACTAGCTCTGATTCAGCGTGCACGAAGAGCTGGGACACAACACGCGATGATGAGCTAATCGAGGTTGGTGTTTTTTTTCGTCGGCGAGTGAACTGCATCAAAAATATGTATGATCAGACTGAACGCAGGTGTACCAATAGTACCTGCAATTTCGTACTGAGCCTCACCAATAGTAGCTTAGTGCTATGTGGTCGATTTGAGTTAGCGTCCCAGTTGAAAATGATTGCCACGTTGCCGTCCGTCAAGAGTTATGCCTGAAGTTGGTACTAGATAGGAACAGATAGCGGTTTGCGCAGAACTGAAGAAGTCGGTGACCGTTATCTGTTCGCCGATAGGACAGAGCACAATGACCGCTTCTGAGGTGCTCAGTTTTCTAACGCGCACGTCAAAATCACCTGCGAGAACAACTATACCGGAGCTTCGACTTGTTTATCGTAGAAATCTTCCTTTTGTTTATCAGAACTGCAGTTGTTCGGTGCATATGTGGACATGGTGATCGAACTTCTTTTGGCGTTGCTTTCCTTCCGGGCGCTGATTGAATCCTGGAGATGCATCGCACATAAGCAACTGTTGCCGGGGCTCCGATCGAGAAGAGAGGACTCAACCCTGGTACTGAGTACATTACTTACCCCGCGCTACCCTACTGAACGGGCGTCGTCGACAACTGACGTGCGAAGAACGTACCTCGAGGACAAACCCGGTGCACTCAGGTATCTTATTACTAAGATCTTGAATTCGAGTCACCGACACGCAGTAAATATCGATCTTTAAAGGTTGGATTATACGCGCCTGACAAGTTTGCCGACCGGCTTGCATCTAGGTGCTCACATTGAAGGCCGTCAGATTCAGTGAATGAAGAGGTTCAGAACCGGCAATCTACTCTGTAATAAAATACTTACAGTGCTATTTTGCAACGACCTTCGGCTTACGATAACCAAGTTACTTGAGGGGTTTTTACAGATCGGAAGAAGGAGCGAAGGGAGAGGGCTAGATACTGTAGATAAAGAATGAAACGACGGTTTAGATGTGTTAGCAACAGCTCACTTATCACTACCCACCCCACTCCATGCAACGGTGAGCGCAGTCCTGATTATTTTGCGCGGCGACCGGTGCAGTATGGAATTCCTTATAACTTGTGTATCTATTGGAGTTTGACGGACAGGTACTGCGAGGAGTTCTAGATAGTAAGCCGGTGTGTGGACAGGCTTGTGAGTTGTGATCACGTTTTCATATTGGACACAGTTTCCTAGGCTAAAATTGTAAATGGACCGCAGCTGGAAATTGTGGGCTGCGGTGTTTCTGCCTTGTTGAATAATCTGTTATATGTATGCCGGACCGCAAAGCATAAGGACTTGATTCCTGCGCTAAAAGTAGCTCTACTGAACGAAATCAAACTAGCTGTTTGAGAAATCATCCTACCGAGAAGTATAAAGTTACCAAGAAACAGATTTATTGAGTTTCCCATGAGAAACTCGAGATGATGGTAAGACTAGTAGAAGGCACTTGCCTGACATCAGTTTAATCGCAATGTTTTAGATAGTAAACATCCAAATACTCACCCGAACAGGATTAAATTGACTTTATAGTATCAGTGGATCAGTGTAGCACTTCAAAATCCGTCAAAACATTCGCGTTGAACTCACGGTTTAGAAGGTACCAGTTGTGAAAAACGACGGTTGGAACTAATGCACCATGGAAGCATGGGTAATAAGTTTGCAGCATTGCTAACTGTAGGAAAAACTCATAGAACATGACCAACCATGAAAAAGTTGAACTTTACTTTGAATCTCGCTGAAAGCACCCCTCAATTAATGTTACCCGTTCGACTAGACCGGAAGGTTGGAAACCTTTTTTATTACTCACCTTTAGTGTGCTGAACAGCAGACTGGTCACCTGGACCTTCTATTCAGTGATGGAAACTGGGACTTGGAGTGGCGAACCACATAAGGCTCCATTGGGCTGGGCGTGGTATTGAACCTTGATTGTATAAATATGGATATAGGGAGGGCGAAGTGCCATTAACTCCATCTTAGTTCTTCTATAATTTCTCGATAATAAGGGTATCTAGATTGATCAAATTTGGTGCAATGGCGACGAAACTGATTACCTTGCAGGACACATACACAGATGGATTTTTACTTTTGCCTGCTCAACTGATTTATTCAGCGACACATCCTTGGGATTGCAAAATACTATTAACCCTACCCCGGAAAATTGATGAAGTCACTCCAGTACAACCGGCCCCGGGCGCGCAGCGCTATGTTTCATAGAGTTTGCATGTCGTTTGAGTGCTAGTAACTGTCTATTGGCGGGTCCTTCATTCACCAATTTTTTTTGGCTCTTTTTTTTATCACTGTTTCATCTTTATCAAATGTGATCAGTTCTGTTTTGGTATTCTCTGATCACATCGAATATACATTTCCTCGCTTCATCCACTTATTCACATTATTTCTATCGTGTTTTTGTTTCTAGGTACACTCAGTGCCATATAACAGACTCACCATCCACAACGGAGGTAATCATTCATCTCACTTGGTTTTATTTTACCGTTTCATGTTCACAACTTTCCTTGCTGTACGGTTATTTTATTCATATTACGTTTATTGGGACATGTATTACGCATACCATCATATAGATTCCCACGACGTGTCATGTTTGCCGAGGCAGGTAGGGTGTAGAAAAAAGCAAAGGGTGATCAATCTATGACCCAGCGTGATGCTATAAAAGCCCCGATCAGAAAATTTGTTCCAGAAGGAGAACGTCGCAATCATTGTAATCGATTGTTGAAACTCTGAGTGATGTGGTTTAGTGTCCTATACAGAAGCGTTCGTGCATCTCCTCAATCCCTCTCTCTCTCTCTTTCAATTCTCTATTTCCGCCTCAAGACTACGTTGAACATTCCAATTTCTCCCTTATTCCTCTTTCCTTCTAATGTGCAGCCAAAGAAATCGAAAACCACAGCACAANAAAAGTGCCGGGTGAAACACTTCCAACTGAAACCTAGGCAGTATTTCCCAAGAACATAATCGACCATTTAAACCTTTGCATGGGCGACTTTTATCACCTTTATAATATACTGTCCCTTCATAAAATGGGGTACCGGGTACCATTGTTTGTGTTTAAACAAATCGGGAGATCCCTTAACGATTTCAACCCGCGCTTTTATGTGCATGTCCTATCTGACAATCTATGAGTTCGAAACAGTCCTTTTCGTACGCATATCCATTTGTCTAGTTACGTGTCAGGACAATATGTTTAGCTTCAGACTCGGTTGGATTTGTTTTTGTATTGGTGGAAAAGTGCCGTTTGGTTTGGAATGACATGATCATCCGACCACTGGTGTTTTGATCGGTAGTTTGCTTGATTCATTGTATGATACGTGAAATCGTTCCAATACCCGCTACCTCACCTGGTTACCGAAAGTGCTTAACAGCTTTATCCCCAGTCAATAGGCATTTACCTTTGTTGAAATATATTGCGGAAACCTATATACTCGTTCAACAGTCAAAAATTGTTTCTATGACAACGTTAACAATACAACATACTTGTATCATTTGAAATCAGTTGATAACGTCGAACTTTTCCCCATTCAGATCGCTACAACTCGTCTCAATTTGATGGAAAACACACCGACAGCGGAACGTATCCGTCGCATGTTTGAAGAGATTACAACGGCGAATCTAAAGTATGCTAATTTCAATCGTTTTTTTTCAAACTATCGATGTCATTCCTGGTGTTATATGAAATGCAAATAACTTGTGAATAAAGTAACGTTGGTGAGCAAAATATATGTATGTATTCCTCAGCGTTTCGGTCATCTCAGTTGGTCCTTGCCAGAGGGGTGCTGGACCAATCAAGTAAGACTTCGTCACGAAAATGACAGGATCTCCGAGGAGAAAGTGGTTGTCCGCAAAGGCGAGAGGCACGTCTGATTGATTCCCCCGAATTCCGTTGTGATCGTCGTCTAGATTGAAGAAAATGCGAAGGTGGTCAAACACTTCAACTGGAGAGGCCTGAACTGAGGGGATTTTCACCACGGGAGAGACTGTTTTGAACAACTCTGCAAGCTCTGTAGGATTCTGGACCAACACTACAATTTCCAACAATCTACTATGGGGCGTTCAACCGACTTCCACGCTGCCTGTGATTCTGTTTATAAAGAATCCTTGTGATGTATACGGCGGTCTGGCAGGATCCCCGAGAAATTCATCTGACTTTTAAAGTTATACTACTCCGGGACTCTTACGCTCGTCCACACCTGTGAATGAGAATCAGCTGAGTTCTTATTAGCCTCTGAAGTCAAGACAAGGCCTCCTATCGCCGGTGTTGCTCAACTGTACCATAGGTTGAATAATACAGAGGTATTCATCGACTACTTAAAATAGATATCGATCACGGACCTTGAGTTCGCGGTCGATTTTGCAGTACCTGAGGGCTCCAGCCTGTTGTCAGTTTCATCAACCAGCTGACTCAGGCCATTGGCCAAAGATCAATGCGTCGAAATCCAAGACATTCACGATGGAAACTTCTACCGCGACACAGNAGGTCTGTAAAATCAACCGAAGTTTTCGGGTCTCTTGGTTCTACAATAAAGCGAAACATCGGGGTCAAAGTGGAATCCAACTTCTTGTAGGTGAAGCTAGAATATCCTCTGTGCAACTCCCCAGAACGGTGCGGAACATTTGCGAAATCAGCCTACACACCAAGTTACCGATGTATCAGGCTTCCTGCGGCTCTGTTCTCAATTATGGTGGTGAAATATGGTCTCTGAAAGTACAAAAAGCGGAGAAGTCCAAGAAGCGGACTGATCCTCACACAGGAGGTATTCGCCCAAAAATAATGCAAGGTTGGGGAGGGAAGCCGGTGTGAAAATAAACATGCATCACCCTGATTTAGGTTATTTACATCCTGGTATCTGTCTCTCCTTTCCCTCTTCTCCAGGCAAGGACCGGCGGAGGTGGCCGAAACTTTGAGCAATTTCATGTTTACAAATGCCATAGAAGTTGTTAGAAACACATTCAGACTAAATACATCACCTAAATCTGCATCTCAATTCGGCCATCCGCTAACTCAGAAATATGATAATTTCCTTCCTTTGTTTATTTTTTTGATAATGGTGTGTATCAACGGAAACGAATTGTCTTTTGTCAACTTAAATCTCAACGTGCACAATGTATTTCAGTCACATGTGACTGATTAAACAATCAGAAAGCAGAACAGCGTTATGTGAGCACCTACCCTTAACAACAAACAGCATTATGGAGTTCCCGTAAGAACGAACGACAATCAACCAGATCGACGAAAACGCCTAAAGTCATGAAACAACGAATTTTGAGAGCTACATCAGGAAATACGAAGATTGGTTTGATTTATATCTGTAGATGATATCAGATTGGCTAGTTTAGAAAGAATTTAAATCTGTACATGTAGCTTTTTCTCACTGAGTGCGCAACCTTCGTATTGATATATCCGCCGCAAAAACCAGTAGGTTATCTGAAGGTAGTTATATCAACCAAAACGTCAAAGGAAAAAATCCATCCCGACTCTGTTTGTTTCACATAACCGTTATCCCCGAACTAATGTGCCGTAGTTTTGGCTTCTCTTTCAGCTACCTACAGTGATGAGAAATTGGACGGGAGACGTAAAAAACTAAGATCAGTACCAGTGTGAAGATATAAAATGCGATCAAACGAAGTTTGCGAAGAAATTTAGTAGATGCACGAGCGTTGCTGTTTACGACGTTGGCATATCACTCGACCCTGCACAAATAAGCAGATCTCGAAACAGCGCCGTAGATTTCGCATGTTGATGAACGTCAGTTGAGCCCTCTGCATACCCGGCAACAGTTCATTGAAGATTCGTCTGCTGAGTAACATGTAGCTACCCAAGTAGCAATAGTTGACCGCTTTCCCAGTTAGATTAAGTTTGAAAGCCAGATCAACCCAGTTCTCATGCAACATTTTATGGATGTTCACAATGCTCACCGAAGCATAACTCCACCAACACTCAAACTAGCAGAAAAGCTTACAAGTCCTCTGGATCCTCACCCAGTCATCACTCAGTTATCGCGGAATTCTGACACAAAACTCAAAATAGGTGAAAATCCGAGAAGTAGTAATCCTGTATTTCATTTTTCTCACGCATTATAAAGACCTCTAACCCTCATATCAGCCTTGGTAACTGACGTGCCGCGATACAGTGAAAAATCCACAATACCAAATTGAAAACACTCAAAGTAGAAATACATATTACAATGAGACCGCGATATGGCGAGCGACGAATTAACTCCAAATCAGACAGTCTGTTACCTGGGAGCACATCAATGCCGCTACCGAACGTGAGAGTAACTTTTGATGAACAGCATTTTCTGTGGTGAATCGGGGCAAAATATTCCGAACTCAGTTCCTTCTATTAGTGTAAATGGATCGTAATAGTGAGAAAAACTTCTGACACACTCCTCTAAGGGCAACATCATCATCAGGGTGGAGTGCAATTCATTGAGTCAGATGGCGCTTTTAGATCAGTTTCAATTCCTACAACCAATATCCATGGTCTTTCTTGCGCCAGTTTTGGTT